AGCAGGAGCGACCTATTGAGATGGAGCGTCGTCTTTCAAAGGACGTTGTAGGGCAAAAAGAAAGGGTCAGGGAGGAATGTGGATGCTGGTTATATAAATAGGGTTGTGTATCGAAAACACTCAAGTTGGAGCTGGGTTTGATACCCAATCCTGGAGGCAGGTGTGTTTTACAGCCTGCTGTGGCACACTGCCACTTGAGCAGGGCCAGGCTTCGTGCAGGTAACGCCGATGCCTTCCGTCCTGGGAGGAAGAAAAAGAGTGGTGCCACTTGTGCTGGGCTGAATGCTCTCAGTATTTCATGCAGTGTGATTAATTAAATTATTCCAGTGTTAACCTACTCTGGGCTTTGCTTTTAAAATGGATGAACAGAGGGGGGGAAAAGAAAAAATAGAAAAGCTCAGACGCTGAAGAGAGAGATTGCGTTTCTCCCTAGCACGTCCCTAGGAAAGTCTTGCCTTTTATTTTAAGCCTGATGCCTTCAATGAAATATCCAAGAAGACTGATTAGAAGCCATGCATAATGATAGCATGGAAATCAGGGAGGTGTGGGGTTTAGATTGTGAAACAATGGAACTTGGGCTAAAATATTAAAATCATTATGTCCTGTTCGAGGTCTTAAGGTTTTGATAGAAAGTCATGATCTGTAGTGTCGTGGTTTTTAAACCTATTTGGAAATAGGTTTTATTTCCCTTTGCTAACTCCTAGTGGAGATGTTACAGCAGCACTTTGTGGTGAGGCAAGCACTCAGGCTATGCTGAGGAGGGACAACTCCAGTATCGAGAATTTTCTCTGCAACCCTTAATTAGCCAGAAAAACGCTATCGGTAACGAAACCCTCGTCCTTCTCTCCGCAGCTGAATCTGGTCTCGAGCGTGACGCTTTCCAAGACGGCGTCCGAGGCGTCTCCGCAGAGCTTACCTCATACTCCCACCACCCCGACTGCTCCCATCACTCCCGTCACGCAGGGGCCGTCGGTCATCACTACCACGAGCATGCACAACGTCGGGCCCATCCGCAGGCGGTACTCGGATAAATACAACGTCCCCATTTCTTCAGGTAAAGGGGTTCTGTTGCCACAGCTGGGGCTCTTCGCTGCGGCCCAGGCTGTGATGATAACAGAACAACTGCTCTCATTTAGCAGATATTGCCCAGAACCAAGAATTTTATAAGAACGCAGAAGTCAGACCACCATTCACGTATGCATCTTTAATTAGACAGGTAAGCTGAGCCAAACGCGTGCGTTTGGATTAGAAAAAAAAAAAATTTTAAAAAATCTCGCTATATGTGCACACTCTGGATTAAATAGATTTTCAAACCTTTGGTATGTAAGCGTGCTCAAATGCTCAAACCTTTACTATAAGGGTTTTTAGAACTGCAATATATAACATAATTGCTTTTGATTAAGTATTACAATACGATGTGATTATTAGGAAATTCATTTCACACAACAGTGAAAATGAGCCTGTTTAAAGATGGCAAGTCAATTATCACAAGCTACAGTAATCTCTGATCCCTAGAATTAATCTGAGCTCTAAATAATTACTGAGCTTTAATCAGCTAGTGAAATGTTTTGCATTTCTCTTTGATTCTGCTTTATGAATGACTAATAAATTAATATTTCTGTAAGGAAACAGAAATAAAAACTCAAAACAATTAGATAATTCCATTTTGAATTTTGCCATTGAACTGTTAAATACAGCCATTAATCTTAGTTCGTATTGTGAAAACCCTCCTTCGGATTTATTTTTTTTTTCTCCTCCAAATCTCTTCTTTTTCATTCTTTCTTCCTTTCTTTCCTTTTTGTATCTGGTGAAGTATAACTGTGAGTGTATTTTTGTACTGCTGTGCTTGTAACTGATCTTGCACTCGCTCTGCTTCACAAGGCCATCCTGGAATCTCCTGAAAAACAGCTAACACTAAATGAAATCTACAACTGGTTCACGCGAATGTTCGCTTACTTCCGACGCAACGCGGCGACGTGGAAGGTAAGCCTGAGCTGCCTCTGCCTCTTGCCTTTGCTATCTGCCATGTACAGCATGGACACTGCTGATGACATAACAAATTGTACCGACATGTGGACATGAAAATTTAGATCGGCAGTTTTGACACGCACTGGGTGCCTTATCTGCAGGAACAATTTGATATTTGGCAGAAAAAATTCTTCTGCCTTTGCAAAACCACTAATTGAATCCCCATTATTGGCTTTTATGTTCTGTGATTATGCCACGAGTTCCTCTGTGTGGTTGCTGTGAGCAGGGAAACTCAAGCCCTTCAGCCGGAACGTATTAGAAAAGGGAAAAAAAAAAAAAAGGAGAAGTTCTTGTGTCAGTAGAAGATACACAGTTTGTCTTTTTAGCTGTACAGGCTGTAATCACAACAACCACTTTTTTTCCCTAGGATCTATAGATCAGTGGATTTCTTTCCTCAATCAATTGACTCTTAACTACATATACAACTCTGTTACAAACTTCCTCTCTGGTTTTTTTAAAATCACAGAGCAGAAGCTCATTGAATATAATATGCAACAAGCAAACTCCTCAATAAGAAATGACTTTAGCAGAAATAAACTTGGTGTCTGGCGCTTTAAATTGGTAGAGAAGAGATTTGAGGAGTTTATTTTACATTTTGGGGGGCCACCCCTTCATTTATACATAGGACTATAATAGCCCTATTGACTTCTGAATCCAGTGCAATTACAAATTAATGAATCAAATAACAGGATCTCGTGGCACTGTAAAAATTGCACCCTGGTCCTTGTCTTCATAGGGACAGCTGTGTTACTCTCAAACAACTTCAAATGGCCAGGTAGGATGAATAGGTCCCATACATGCTGTTCCATCAGCTCTTTCTGTTTTTTCTGTCTCAGCCTGCATTAATTCCTTCAGAGGATGGAGCTAAAAATGGTCCTTGGAAGTTAGCTTGGTTTTTAGTGGCATGATTTGCTTTTAATTCAGATCCCAGCACAGTTTTGTATGTTTTCAACCTCGGTCTAGCTCTTAAGTTCAGTAAAAGTTTCTGTGATTGCTGCTTTGATTCTTCCCTGCAGTTGGAAAACATGAGCAGCATTTCACTTTGCAGCTTCCTTACTATCCAGAAAGGAAATTAACTTTCCCTGATTTAAGATCCTTTTAGACCTGCCTGTCTTGTGCTGCTGGAGTGGTTCCAGTAGGACTTTTCAGCAGCTGCAGGTGTGGGTGCTAAAGTAAAAATCCTATTTAGTTCCAGCAGCAAAGGGAAGTGGAGAGAAGAGTGGAAGAAAGCAGCAGGCAGCCCTGGCTGTATCTCCTGCGAGGCTAGTTTTAGGAATTAGCTTTGTGCATCCTGTAAAATCCAGTCCCGGAAGCCATGTTCAATTACAGAAGAGGAGCAGAGAGGCTGAGCTGCAGACCCTCAGGCTTGCAGAAGGGCAGAGTTTGACCCATGGAGGCAGGTGCCGTTGGAAGACCTCTCCTTGGACACCTTGACCTCCTGCAGGTGTCCAGGTCAGGCTTCACATAGCAGGGAACTAAAGCTTCACCCCCAGATGCACCAGCAAAATTGGCAACTGCTTGGTGTAATGCACGTTTTCATGCTGGAGACTGCTCAGATTTCTGCCAGCCTTCAGGAACAGCAGGGATGAAAATGCAGCTCTGGATTGGCATGATGGGAAGCCCACAGGGCACAGAACAAGCACAAGGGGCTAATTGCAGAATCAGAATCATTTGAATATATATGTGGTGATTTGCGCTCACCTTCAGCTAATGCTTAGGGGTTGTTTGTGTCAGTGTTCCCCAAGTTTAGGGTCAGGGTTTGGTGTGGGCAAGCTTCCCTGAGCCCTGTTTCAAAAACACAGAAGAGTGCAGGAATAAAGACCTTTAAAAAATGAACCTCTTTCCCAAAATGCAGTACGGCAGAGCCTGAGCAGTTATTAAAATAACAAACCCTTTCATTTACTACATTCAAGCATGTTCAGAGTAATTTTTCTGCAAAAGTGGCTTGCATACAAATATTTTTAACAAGGTAAATATATAATCTTACAATAATAGCTCCTAATTTTTCTGTTAAGCTGATTGCTGGGGGAGCACTGTGAACTGGTTCTGACAGGTCAGAGGCAATGTCTGTTTGCTTTTATTTTTTGGAGTAATTTGCTGGCACTGAGTCACAGCCATGAGGCACAGGCTGCAGGTGTGGCTCTGACACGTTGGGGTATTGTTCAAATAAAACTGTTAGATAGCAAGTATCCAGAGGCAGGGGAGGCACAACAATTTTTTTTCTGGCATGAATTACTTAAATAAGTGATCACATGGAAAATAGAAAGCAAGGGCAACACTTCATGGATGTCTTGTAAACATTGGACTTGTCTGTCTCAACGTATCCAGCCCAATCCCACATCCTTAACCATCAACTGCACATGGACTTCAAGGGAACAAGAACAGACTGCAAAGTATTCCTCCAACATAAAATTTATTTAAAGAAGAACAGAAATATTCCTGCTCAGCCCTGTATTTAGAGACTATTTACAAACTCCGAGGACTCCCTTCACTGAGCTTTGCCGTGTGCGTTTGATCAACTGCTGTATGAACCACAAGATCAGCTTTCACTGGGGGAAATAGTGTTATTATTCTTACATTTTGCTCCAGACTTGACAGTGTTCCCATTTTCACAGGAAACTGCCTGAGTTACCCAGATGTGGGCCAGCAGCCCTGTGTCGGGTTGCACTAGAGCAGCACCCACCAGCAGTTGCTGAGCTGGCTGATTTTAGCTCATAAGGTGTGGGGCGTTTACATGTTTTTCCTCCACCTCAAAATCAGGGATTTTGCCAAAAATGTCAACAGTAGTGAAATCTGGAAGAGGTGGGAGGGGAAAAAAAAATATCATTATAAAATCAGAACAGAAGAAAACAAGGGCAGAAGGAAGCAGGCCTGATGCATAGGTTGACTTTCTGCTAGATTTCTGCCTTGCTGAGAGGAAAAGCATATTCAAGGTTTATTTTTCCACCAGTTCACAAGCAGAGCAGTGTGGAAAAGCCAAAATGCTGGGATTGGGCACCTACAGCCGGAGAAGACAAGTTTGCACTCAAGCATCTGCTGAGCAAACACGGTTCAAACCCCAAATCTTCTGCCTGATGCATAGGTTGACTTTCTGCTAGATTTCTGCCTTGCTGAGAGGAAAAGCATATTCAAGGTTTATTTTTCCACCAGTTCACAAGCAGAGCAGTGTGGAAAAGCCAAAATGCTGGGATTGGGCACCTACAGCCGGAGAAGACAAGTTTGCACTCAAGCATCTGCTGAGCAAACACGGTTCAAACCCCAAATCTTCTCTCTGTATTGGGGTGGGAGTGTGTGCACTAGCCTAGCCATGGCAGGGAAATGGAGAAGAAGCAGAAGACTCTTTGACTTCCCCTCTCAAGCACACACACCACTGCCTCAAATTTCCATGACAAATGCTCTGTGCTTGCCCTTTGTTTGCACAGTAGCCGGAGAAGACAAGTTTGCACTCAAGCATCTGCTGAGCAAACACGGTTCAAACCCCAAATCTTCTCTCTGTATTGGGGTGGGAGTGTGGGGACTGCACTAGCCATGGCAGGGAAATGGAGAAGAAGCAGAAGACTCTTTGACTTCCCCTCTCAAGCACACACACCACTGCCTCAAATTTCCATGACAAATGCTCTGTGCTTGCCCTTTGTTTGCACAGTGATTTAGACATTGGCGATTAGGGCTCCCTTTCACCATTCAGACCCCATGTTCGTGCAAAAAAAAAGATGATGATGATGTCGGAAGGAAAAAAATTGTCGTCTCCTGGTTGCCTAGACCCAGGCCATGTGTTTGGCTGGCTTTGTGCCTGCTAACGAGTCAACCAGATTGACTGAATCGATGGTGCCAGTGAGGATGGAGTTTGTTCGCCTGCAGATTTTCAGCAAATGGCTTCTTCTGTTTTCCCTGTCTCACAAGCTCCTTTCAGCAGTGCTGGGGACAAGCTCCATGTACAAATTCCACAAACAGTGGCTTTGTGGAATCATAGACTCATTTAGGTTGGAAAAGACCTTTAAGATCATCAAGTCTAAGTGTTTTAGTATGGTATTTGCTCAGAAGATTCCTGAAACGGGGAAGAAGCATGGCACCCCATGTGTGGAATAACAAGGCTCTCGGCACCACGTCTGAAGGAGCAGGGACAGAAAAGCCAACAGTTTGCCATGACTTAGTGAGGTGTCTCGTTGTGTCCAGCTTCAGCACATCGGAGGGGTTGGCCAGGCTGATCCTTCCCAGCACGGAGCTGGAGGGCAGACATCCGAGCATCGGATGCCATGAGCGCGGGTCCCTCTGGGCGATGAGCTGTGGGGATATTATCACTTTGTTTCAGAGAGCCCTCCTCATGTTTTCACTTGGCAGAGGCTCAGATCAGTCACTACAGTAGTCTGCCAGAAATAGGAGCCAACTTCCATATAAGAGCAAGCCGCGGAGGCAGGAGTCGGTGCCGGCCAGCCGGTGGGGTGCTGCCGAGCCCCCGGTCCGTGCCGTGGGTGTGGAGGGAGGTTCAGCACCTGATTCACATTAGCCCAGCTGTGGGAAACCACAGTAACACCAGCTCCAGTGCCTCCGTGCTAAACTCAGCCGTCTGTACTTACGTGAAATCCTTTCTAACTGCTTTCTTTTCCAGGAGGGGAGAAATTTCTCTTTGCAGAGCATATATATTTGTTTTGAAAACGTCTTAAGCAATGTTCCTCTTGTGTTCTGTATGAAATGTGCTGTATTCTACAACGTGCATGCTTAAAGTGATGGCTGTTCTCAGTCACACTGGGGATAATTGATAAGAATAACTTGAATTTTTAATCTTGGGTTTAAGCTTTCATATTTATTTTGTCTTTGCAAAATAAGACGTAAAGAGCTGGGGAAAGCGAGCGGGTGCGGGGAGGGGAAGGGGCTTAACATTGCAAAATGAGAACTGTCAAGCTGACTGTGCTGCTGTTCTTGGACAATGATGAGCATTTTCTCATAGAAGGTTTTTGAATGTTTTCTCTTTTATACTTGCTGCAGAATGCAGTGCGTCATAATCTTAGTCTTCACAAGTGTTTTGTGCGAGTAGAAAACGTTAAAGGGGCAGTATGGACAGTGGATGAACTAGAGTTCCAAAAACGAAGGCCACAAAAGATCAGTGGGTATGTCCACCATGTTTGAACTTCTTAGCCTAGCTCGGATCATGCTTACAGTTTAACGTAGAGGCTTTTGGCTGCTAGCTGGTGTTAGACCAACCACAGGTGGTTTCGCATTGTCTCAGTTAAGGGAAACCAAGACAAACATCTCATCACTACTGTTTGTATGCCCACCAGTACCCTGACCCTGCTTGCTTGGTGTTTGTTGCATCACATGCTAGTAGCTTTTAGGTGGCAATGCATATTAACCCTCACAAACCATTTGCTTATGCTTATTGCATTTTATTTTCTTTTTCCTTTTCCCTGTATTTGATGTCTGTTCTGTCCCCGATCCCGTGTCCCTTTGTTTCCACTTCATCTCCTTTGCTGCTGCTCTTGTCCCAGGGTGCCATTCGCACCAACCTCTCACTGCATAAGTGCTTTATCAGAGTAGAGGATGAGTTTGGGTCCTTTTGGACTGTTGATGATGAAGAGTTTAAACGTGGCCGTCATATTCAACGAGGCCGTCCTCGAAAATACTGCCCTGATGAAAACTTTGGCGAGCTTGTTGCACAGTAAGAGCTTTTACTTGCTTTAATTTTTTTTTTCTGCTGTTGCTTTGCTTTGCATGATTTACCCATCTCATGTAGACTTGCATTTCACGAAATAGTGACATCACCTTTGCTGCTAAAGAAACTAAATTTTTGGTTGTTACGTGTATTTTGTGTGTCCTACTCTGATAATCCAAATGCCTGTAGTAATGACTCTACTTTGACATGTTTGTTAAAGCATTTATTTATAGAGCAATGTAGACTAAGATAATTATCCGCGCTAGTGCAGATATGCTGCTGTAGACGTGTCAGGAAGACAGATAGATGCCAGGAAAGGCTTCAGATAAGTTTGAATTCTGATGTTTTCCTTTGCTTTCAGTTGTATGCTTTGTTTTGCTGCTCTTAATCAGAAAGAGTAAGGTACTTGCAAGACAGAAATGCTGAATTCACTTTAAAGAGTTTGAAAATGCAGTGAGACCAGCTGTAAAGATTATTATCAACAGGCCATCTTGTGCCTACAGCAACCCTGCACCAATATTCCTGGGGTTCCCAAAGCAATTTTCTTTGACCTTTACTCGAAGGCCATCTCTCCAGGACAACTGATCCTTGCTGGTCCCTGTGCAAGGGGCTCAGTTAAGACTCTTCTCACCGTGATTTATTCCCACATGAAAAAAAAAAAGTAAAAATGTGCCCAGTGAATGATGAAACTCTCGGGAGCTTTTTCTGCATTGGCATTTTTTATCTACTTTCTACTTTATGATTTTTTTAAAATGTTTTTTTTACCCCTCTGGTAGAACCACAGTGATATTTAGTACGGTATGGCCGATACGACCTGCATTCATTCTCCTCAAATCTGGCCCCTTACGTAAAGTTGACTAAAATAAGGGTCCAAAATAGCACACCAAATTTTTTTTAATTAGAAGGGCCTTCAGGGCAGTGTGTTGGTTTTCATGGGCCTCCTGCCCTTGTGCCTCCATGCCCATGGACCATTTGGGGTGATGTGTGGGCAGCCCCTCGCCGTGGCCACTGCCTGTTTGCCTGGCAGGAAACAACACAGCTCAAACCCACTCACATCCACTGGGAGAGACTCCACTGCCAGCGACTCGGAGAGTAATCTGGATGAAGTGGCATCTAAAATGTCCCACGATGCTTTTGATCATAGCCTCCTCACGATGGACCTTTACATGGTAACGGGCTCCCAGACACGACGAAAATCAGAGAATTTCTCCTCAACCCAGCTAAAATGAGCAGAGATGCCAAGATGTGCTACTAACGCAGGGTAGTAGAACACATGGCGAGGTAACGTCGAGAGATAATGATGTTCCTTATTTAGTAAAGGCAAATATGATAACCATAGCCGAAAACTTAGATATTTTCTTGAAATTGAAAAAGGAAAAAAAAGAAACGAAAGAGAACTCGTGTGGAAAACCAGACTCAGCTCTAGTTTTGTGGTGTGGGAGGAAGCATTACATGCTTGAAACGCTCGCACAGAAGTTGGTTGCATTTAACTCTCCTTTTTATGTTTTTCTTGTGCAGTAACCCTTCTCTTATTAAAAACATACAGACCAGCCACACCTACTGCACACCTCTCAATGCTGCTTTACAGGTAAGATTAATGACTGTAGCAAATATGCAACAGAGGCGTGTGTCTTCCCCACTCATTTCAAAATATATTAGCCTTGCTCTAATTAGATATTAAATTTTAATTCCGTTAAACTTTTTTCTTAAGTGCATAAAGCATCATAGTCCCTGGAGGCAAACACATATCAGGCTGCTTCAGCATTAGCTAGATGCTTAGCATTTTGAATATTGTGGCAAAAAAAATTAAAAGTTCACTTATTAATATTTATCAGCAGTATCATAATTTCCATCCTCTTATTTCAGAATTTCACTTGAGGCAAAAATACCACAAGTGTAATTACTCTAGCACAGCTATTAATGTGCTGAATGATAGGATACTGCGGCACGTGACCTTCTATTGTTCATGGCTTTAAAGAGAAAGCAGATCATTTTTCCCCCTTTTCTTTTAAGGGCTATTTTTGCATATCTTCCTATTGTTGGTAAAAAATAAACGGCGCAATTCCTACAGAAAAAAAAAGGAAAATAGCATTTTTGTTGGTTTAAACTGTAATTGTAAGACAAAAATTATGTTTTTTCCACAATGCAGAAATACACAAAGTGTCAGTGCACAATTAATAACTTGCAGCCTAAAAATGTGCCTGTCTCCAGCCCTTTTTCATCTGCCCTTTTTCCCCTCTCAACAAATTCCTGAGTCTGTCTCTAAAACCCCAGGTAAAGTCAGTATTTGCTGAATGCATTACCATGCCCTGGATTTACAGTGGGGTGTGTGTTTATATGGGGGTTCAAACCTGATTTATAGTGTGAATTAATCCAGGAGGCAACACCATGCATGGCTGAACCCCAGTTAGATCTTGGGGGTCTCTTCTCATGAAGTTCACTGATGGCCATGGATATTTGCTTGGGCAGTCATGTTTTGTGGAATGTTTAGCAGACTTCTCTTTTCAGATCCAAGAAACAGATTATTAGGGAAAAAAATGATGCTCTGCCTTTCTTTGATTATTTTTTTTTGAGTTCATGCAATAACTCCTGTAAAGCCAAGGAAAGCATGTTTAAATGAAGCAACTGTAAATACCATTCATTAGTAACTTATTTTCCCTTGAGTCTTGTGAAGTGTGATTTTTAAAGACTGCTTTGTCTCCTGAATAGTATTAAGATTACAAGCACATTTTACATTCATGAGGCTGAAAGGCAAAACTGAAATGATCCTACATTTCTTCACATTGTTAACTATGTGACTAATTTCAATTAATATGCTTATCATACGGAACTGTTCGTGTTTTATTTCTGAAACACGTGTCGTTGTCGTCATCTCCATCCATTCTTGTCTTTCGTGATAACCTCCAAACTGTTTCCATTCCCCACTTTTCCTGAGCTACATCCTCGTGCCCTCTAATAGCATTGTGTGTGCTGAGCTGATGGAGAGAGGTGGCTGGGCCAGATTCGCTGCCACTGTCACCCCTCTAATAAATGGGGGGCGAGCAATATTCACTGCACTGGGACAGGTCCTCTTTTTGGTATAAAATACATCTTCAGCTTCTCACTTCTCTCCTCCACCACTGGATTTTGGAGGCAAAATCCAAGTGGATGCTCTGGTACTGTAGGGCATCTGCAAGTAGCCATGTGGGCACTTCAGTCCTTGCTTGGGCAAAAAATTCGTCTAGGACACAAGATTTCTTTACTTGCCAGTGCCTATGTTCAGTCTAACTGATAATTAAGGAGCAGTGTTTCCCCCACTTTTTGTGGGCACATGCAAAGACCAGGTCCTTGCACATCCTTGTGAGCACTGTGGCTGCCTCTCAACTGTCCTGCAGACATGTGGTAGGCTGTGTGCTGCTGGGATGGCAGGCTGTGGTTTCTTTTCCTGTGGGGTGGCAGATCCACCTCTCTCCTTCACCATGACCCCTCTGACATTTCCTCTATGCTTTTTCCCTCGTGGCCAGGGAGAAGAAGCAGGTCTCTCTGTGGAAGGTACAGGGACTCCAGCTCTCACCAGTGCTCTCTTTTCCCAGCAGGTCAATGGGGTGTCCCCAAACACCCCCCATCCCTATTACTATCTTCATAGCAGATACTTCTCATGTCCCACCTCTCCCCCAGTAAATTGCTTTACTGCAATTACAAGTTATCACTGTGGGTGAAGAACTTGAGTCATTATTTTGCCAAGTGCAGGAAATGTGAACCATTCTTTGCATCTCCTAATCACAATGAGTTTGCCGGTTGTTGAATCAAGAAGATAAAAATAATCCTCCCCATTAGAATAGCTTTTGTAATCACGTGTGACACGTAGGGCTGCACATGGAGAGGTCAATGTAAGGAAGAATAAAAGGGGCTGTGCTCCTGAAGATGCTGCAGTGAGGGCTGGTCCTGCCCTCCCTTCCCATCCCATCTCCCCCCGTTCTGGCTGTGCTTGCCTGGAAAGAACTGTCTGCTCAGCAACAAGCGAGCAGTTTTGTCCCACGAATTGGGAGCGGACGAGAGCATTTGATTGGGGAGTACATTTGCGTGGATTCCCCTCCCAGGGGCAGGGTTTGCATCATGCAGACCCAGCCTGATGGATTTTTTTTTTTTTTTGCTTGGCCACTGCAGCCAGCTGACCTCTCCCCAGGAGCAGGTCAAGTGCTGCCGAGCCAACGTCTGTGGCTCTCCGGCGCCGTCAGCCAGATCCAGCTGGGATGGGTGAAATGGTTAAATGTCTTTCCAGTCCCTGGATGCTACAGCTCCAGAAGGCTGTGCCTCCCATCCCTGTGCCCCCCATTCCAGTGCCTCCCATCCCCACCAAACAGCTCCTCCAGGGCTCCTGCGCTCCCACCGCTGCCGTGCCGGACATGGGACTGTGCAGTCAACATGAGCTAATGCTGACACACAGTAAATATTAGCAGGCAGAACGGTGGGAATCAGAAGGAAAATATTTAACAGTTCATTCTCTTCCTACAAAGATTTCCATTTAGAAAGTTAACTCCAGTGTGCCTCTGCACAGTGTTTCTTTAGAACGAGGGAAAATCGAAATAAAATGGCCAGATCTGTAATAGCTAAGGTAAGAGCTGAGTTGCTGAGGTTTGAAAATTCCACATGGACTGGTTCAGCTCTCAGGTGGATCAGTGCAACTCAGTCTGATCCAGTTAGTGCTAACCACAGCCTTGAACATATGTCCCAAGGAAAACCAAACTCGGTGAGGTTCCTCTTCCGCATGGTACCCACTTGCTCCAGTGGGAAGGAGTTATCAGCTGAGCCAGTTCTAATTTTTTTCCCCATTTCATTAAAAACAAAGCCCAAACCTAAGCCACAGAAAAAGCCACCAAAGCCCCAAACATAATTTTACAAAATGAAAATAGGAAAAGGACATTTTCTTTTTTTCCAGGGGGTGTAATTCCAAAGAGGGAATGGAAAGCTCTGTCCTTTCATAAGCCAGTACAGCTTACATCCAGATGTAAATGAAGTTAAATTTCCCTTGGTGGAATCAGGGTAATACCTATCAGAAAGCACCATATTTAAAAAAACCCTCTGTAATGGCAAATAATGTAAATGTGGAGAATGTTTTGAAACAAGTGAGTGTGTTGTGCAGTGCATAAAAACATTAGTCATGGCTCTTCATGGATTTGTTTGTGTCCTTGGCAGGCTTCAATGGCTGAGAACAGTATACCTCTATACACTACTGCTTCCATGGGAAATCCCACTCTGGGCAATTTAGCCAACGCGATGAGGGAAGAGCTCAATGGTGCAATGGAGCATACGAACAGTAACGGGAGTGACAGCAGTCCAGGACGTTCCCCTATGCAAGCGATGTAAGTACAGCAGAGGTGTCTGCATGGCTCTAAGGTGGTGTCTTAACCATCTGCTCAAGTGTGACTCTGAAGACCTTTCTGGTTCCTTCCGGAGGTCCATGGATGGAACATCTCCATCTGGAGACATGAAAGAGCCATTTGCCAATTTCCACATAAAACTGATGAGCTCAATCCAGTCCAGCAAGCACACGAGGCTATAAAATTGTTCACGTGTTTACAATTCTCTCCTTTAAACTTGAAAAACTTCATAGGCAACCATGTTTCTTGGGGGGAAAAAAAAAAGTGTCTTCTCTTCCCCTCCGGTCCACGCAACAAGCGCGGTCAGTTGGGGCAGAGCTGGGAAATGGGCTTGTTTTGCAGGTCCAAATTAAAAACCACTCGACACACAACGGTCTCGCTAAGCATTAACGTGAAGGTCTGTGTGATTTATAGATTGCTCTTAAAATATCAAAAGGAGAATTAATAGGGGCATTACAGCAACAGACGGCGGCGTAACGAGCGCGTGAAGTGACGGGGCTCGCTGTCCCTGCCCGACGTGCAGAGGGTAAGGCAGGAAGGGTGTGATGCCCCGATGGGTGTGTGCTGTATTTATGGGGTGACGGGAGTGAGTTTGCAAAGCTGTAAACTCCCCCCTCCCCTCAAATTACACACGGGGTAATTGGCAGCTGGCGAGGAAGACGGAGTTTATAGGTCTTGTCGTTGAGAACCTCGTTGGGTACCTGTGAGTGACCGTGTGCCAGGGCTGTGCTGCCTGTCTTTCGCCTGCTCCTTAAAACAGGCTGTAAAATTACTGGCTGGCTTGCCACGGCTCACATTGCACATTAAAAAAGAGAACTAATTTGTAGTCTTTTACTTCAAAGTGATTTGAATAAGGGATTTACAAAAGTACGTCTAAATCAAAAAGTAGAAAAAAAACATTAACCTACTACCACGATAGTAATTAGTTGTGAAACTAATTAGCATTTAATGGCAAAAAAGTTTCCCACCTGCATAATGTGTTGTCAGAGGGGAGGGGGCACGAAGGAATCTGAGGCTCTGGATACTTTGATATTGCAGCGTTTTAAATCAGTGCACAAAGTGCTTTGAAAAAAAAAAACTTTAAAGATGGCAACATTCATTTTTAATTAATAATTAATTTAAACATTGTCTTTTACCATTTACTTCAAAACATTCAAATAATGTGTTTAGCTTTTCCAGTGATTGTTTGTGCAGTATTAATTATCTCTCCCAAAGTAACGTTGCATGACACACTTTCCGTCTCGCGCAGACGGATTCATCTCGAGGCAGTTTTAGTCACAATTTGTTATCCTCTGCCTGTGACCACGCAGGGCCAGTGTGAAGGAGGAGTGGAGGGACATGGCTTTTCTCCAGAAACAAGACTTCTCCCAAGGGTTTCTCCTGGCCTAACAGACAGGGTTGAACGTTTATGATGTTGCATTAATCCAAGTAATTATTTTTTTGCAAGTTCAAGGCTAGTGTAGTTCATGCACTTCTCATTTCACCTAAGGTTTCCTTGTCTTTGAAGAGACTGCGAGGAGGGAAAAATAACTGAGTTGAAACAGGCTAGGACATCTTCCAGAACTGTGCATAGCTGTGGCCTTTGTTGCACTTAATAATCATCTCTTAGCACATTGATACCAAGGTGAGGGGCACAGAACAAATACTGGAGAGAGAGGAGTTCGGGGGGAGTGATGCCTCATTTTCATTATTCACCAGAAAATCCAATTTTCTGTTGTAATATGGAAATGATTGTTTCCTGAGTGTTTTCATTTTCTCAGAATTGATAATATATGTGTTCTCTGCTGAACATTTCTTTTTGCTTAAGTAAAATGTGGCCGGGTGATGTTCCAATACCAGCTCAGAGCTCCCCCATTGTAATGGTGTTTCTAAGTAGCTGGCAGGGATCTAAAGGCAGAACACCACTCACACGTCACGGGGTTCACCCTGTTTACTAAATAAAATCACGAGTCAACAGCGAATTTCCAGGCGCCGCGAAACCTTTTCTTTTCCTTGCTCCTGCTTTGTTAACGACATTTTCATTTTTCTTCCTCAGATTTCCCTGTCACGATGCAAATTATTTTTTTTAAACTATTTCAGTATATTAGAAGAAATCAAGCTTTAAACTTTATTGTAAGGTTTAAAGGACCTTGTTAACATGACAGCTAAGAAGTCTAACACTTTAGCTGAAGTCTTATTACCGCTCGTTCGTTTCCTTTTTATGACACATTGAACCACGGCTAGGGTGGGTTTTTTTCCCCCTTCTCCTTTTGAAACACTAGAAAGTAGTCGCATAATTACAGCTTGGGGACATAACACTTTCATCCTGATATGCTCCAAAGGTAGCCACAAAGCAAACTACTCCATGCTGTGTGCACCACCAGAACTCAGTGGCTTTAAACAACAGTCAGCTTTATTAAAAACTCCTCTGTTCCCAGAGTGGACAAACAAAAGAATTACTCAGATGTGAAAAGAAGGGGAATCTGTGTTCAGCAAGGTTATTTATTGTTAACCCCTTCTGGAGTCTCAGGCATCTACTTAAAAGGAATGTGCTGAATTTCTGCTGCTATAAAAACAGAAATGGGAAACCCTTTCCTTTTATTTTCCTCCTCCCCCCTTTATCTTTCTTTTTGCCTAACCCAGCATTTACCTTTTCTGTAATTCATCAGGCTGAATTCTTTAGTCTCTAAAGGAAGTTTTCCTTCCCCAATTTGTGGGTTTGTTGAGGTGGTAAATAGATACTCAGACTTACTTGAGAGGATACAAAAGTCTCCCTCTCCCTTTGAGCTTATCGATTTCAGTTGCTCAGAAATGTTTGAGCAAAATCAAGGATTTGGGAAAGTTTTCTCCTCTCATGCCATTCTGTGGTTACAGCTGACAGGGTACACAAGGAGTTGAATTTTTTGGTGGTGTTTTCCTTGCAGCTCTCTCCCTGGGGCGGTACACAAGGAGTTGAATTTTTTGGTGATGTTTTCCTTGCAGCAGGGAGGGCCCTGGGGGGTGTATTAGCCAGATAGCCTCCTCATTTGGGGGATGGAGGTTTTGCCGAACTCACTGTCTGATGTTTGTGCAACACATGAGGTGCTGGAGGAGGCTGGTGTGGCTGTGCTCCCCGTGGCTTTGTGGCTCTCTCTGGCTTTGTCTCGCCTGGGCTCGAGCAGCTCTTTTCAAAACTTGGTGCTTGTGTTGCTTCTCACTCCTCAAGTTTTGTTTTTTGACTTCTGGGAATCACACCAAACCTCAAAGAGAAAACTCAGTTGAAATCACCTGGTTTCACCTGCTTTCATAGCGAAACCAGAAGAGGGACAGAGTTTGCTTTGGAAAGGTTTGGGGAACTTTGAATGAGCTTTCACAGCAGTTTGGATGGTTGTGAGTGCAGTGGGCACCTGTTTTACCTGCTGACACCTAAGGTGGTTGGGATGCATTGAGACACTGGAGCCTTTGAAGGGGCTCCAGACAAGGCCACCTCTGTTGGACGTGGCATGCACTCTCCCCCTTGAAAATTTCCTTTCTGTGCTTTCAAACATAATACTTCAAGAAGTAAATAAGCCTAGCAGCAGCATCAAAAACAGAAAGCAAAATAGCAAGACTTAGACATTAAAACAGCAGCAAAAGAGTCTGAGTAGCACAGGCTTTATCAGGCTCTCTGTGTAGCTGCTCATTCCCACTTTTTCTTCTGTTTTTCATTTCATGTTTTCTCCCAAGTGAGGGGCCCCACAGCCTATTCATAATAGAAGTTTTTCTAGTTGCAGATATTCAGCATGGTTTCACATTACCTAGGGCCACGAGCCACTGGGACAGATAGCACATCCACACCTTCGACGCGGCGATCTGCTTGCGAGTCTCTTTATATGCTTGTGCCAATTCTTAACCTCTGATATTTGAATTGTCTCCTCCCAGTCTTTCTTTCTTAGCCCTCCTTTTTCACTAGTTAGGTCACAACTGTAGGATCAATGCTCTCTGTGTAATTTTTGCAAAAATGAAGTGGCATGAACCTCTTTGCTCCCAGGGATATGTTGATAGGACACATATTAGTGAGTTTGAAGGGAAGAGGTGTGTGTATGTGGACAGTGCATCACTTTTCCCCACTGTTCCTGTCTTGGGTGAATTGGAAGGTGCAGTTAATACTTAAATATTGATCCAGCACTTTGCAACTGCAGAAGTTGAAACATGCAGGGACTTGAAAGGCATTTGCAGCTCACATTGGAAATGTGTGTAGTCAGCAAGTTAGATGCTTCCTAAACTGATCTGTGCCGGAGCCGAAATAAATAAATAGGGTACAAGAGCACAACTGGCTCACTTGAAGTAGGCAAAGTTAGCTCTGGTTTGTCCATGGATGCTGAGTATGTTTTCCCTGCTCAGTGATTTATCCTTGCAGTGGAGTACAAACAGTGTTGTCATTCTCATCCACACAAAACACAAACTACAGTGCAGCTATTTTAAATCATTCATTTTACAGCAAAGCTGTGCAAGCAGAGCAAAAGTTCTTCCAGTGAAGGTTTGTGCTGCGGGTTGTGTTTTCATGTAGCCTACGTGAAAGGGTTAAATTAGCCTGCATGGAGAAAAAAAGCAGCCTTGGAGATGGATATCAACTCAATGAGAGACAGAGTGGGACTTGAACTCATTAACACTTTATTTTAAGGGATTGCCTACAACATCAATTATTTAGGAAGCAAACAGGGTCTCCATCGCTGTGTGGCATTATTAATACTTGGTAATGTCAATAAAATCCTACTTTCCTATAAAGTCCCACCAACAAGGCACTATTGACTCACATGGCTGTTTTACATTTCAAAAGCTGCTGAACAAAAAAAAAAAAGGGGAGTTAAAAAAAGGTAATTTGTATTTGTATAGGATTTGTTGTAAATATGATTTACGAACAACATTTTTCAATTGTTATCGTACCCGTTTTGAATGACCAAGCCCCGTTCCCCCGCGGGTTATTCATGTGCATTGCTGTAATGAGAAATTTGGCAGATCTCATCTCTTTAGCACATCCTTGTGCCCACCATGAGCTGGGGATCATGTTCTGCCTTGTTTACAGCTGACAGTGTTATTATTCTCGTTAGGACTGTGCTTTCTTATCATATTGTTGTGTTGAGCGAGCCTTTTCCTCTCTGTTTGTGTTTCCTGGCAGGGCTTTTCTTCCCTTATTGACAGTTTGTAAAAATATGCATTAATTTGGAGTTTAAAGCATGTATCATGGTGTCTCTTTGCTGTGTTTGCTTGAAGTTGATTAATGATAGAACCTCACTTGGGGTCGTCCTCTGGAGAGTTGTCTCACAGGTTCTGCATGTTAACGAGAGACGCTGCACGCGCGGCGAGCGATGATTAGCCCGGGCTGCGCCGCGCGGCGGGCGGACGGGCGCTGCCTTCCCCTTCGGATGCTTACTCCACTTATTTATCCAAAGATCATATTAACTTAATGTGTCAGCTGAGAGCGTTTTCTCTCGATCCCAAGACAGAAACCCTATCGAGGTGCTCCTCCCAGAGTGTTTTCCTGGGGAAGCTGAGTGCTGCCTGCCTGGCGTAGCCTTCAGAGAGTCTTAGAATCGTTAAGGTTGGAAAAGACAGCTAAGATCATCGAGTCCAACACTGCCAAGCCCACCACTGAGCTATGTCCCTGAGTGCCATGTCCACATGTTTTCTGAACGCTGCCCTGGGTGGCCTGTTCCAATGCTTGACCGCCCTCTCAGTGAAGAGGTATTTCTTAATACTCATTCTAAACCTCCCCTGGTGCAACTTGAAACTGGTTAGTTGTATTCTGGGAGTAAGTGCTTTGCTTGGCTTCCGTGGCCAGCACAGAAGTTGAGGGTCTTCTCCTTGGTGACCTGGAGCTCTTAGGCCTCATCCACCAAGTCTGAACCTCCAAACCACTTCGCTTTTCTCCCCGTACGACCTGCACTGTCAAAACCATTTTTTCACGGGCAGCTTGCTGATTGACCATCTTTTTGTTTTCCCAGGCACCCTGTGCATGTCAAAGAAGAACCATTAGACCCAGATGAAAATGAAGGCCCTCTATCCTTAGTGACAACAGCCAACCACAGTCCAGATTTCGATCACGACAGAGATTATGAAGATGAACCTGTAAATGAGGACATAGAATGAGTATGTCTGACATCGTTATCCTGAGAATGAAGATTGGAAGAACACGTCAAACTTAGCTGTGAAATCTCTCCATTATTGTACAGTCTGGAGGATTCTCAGTCCACTTTGACAACTATGAAATATGTTAACTCTTAGTGCCATCAAGTATCCCATTTGGGAGTATTTTTGATTTTTCTACTTTTTGTTGAAAAAAGGAATTTGTACTCTGTGCATTGGATGGACTTGTTTGGTACTTGGGATTTTCCTCTCTTACAGTCAACATCAGTGTTGTAAATTTGCTAAACTGATTCACTTGCATTTAGCAGCCAGCTGTGGACTGCAGGTCCTGCCAATTTTGGACACTTGAGGACATCAAACTGAGCATGTACACCTGAACTGCAGATCAAGTCTTTGCCCAGATTTTAAGGATTCCAATGGACAACATATTTGCACAGTACTGCATGTTGATTATCACTGCCTTTACTCCATTTTTTTTTTTTGTTTTATTTTTTTGGTTGGTATCTTCTTTTCTCTTTTTTTTTTTTTTTTTTGCTTCCATTTGGGATGGGGAAGGCCTGTGTGTGCACGTGTGTGGGTACGTGTGTGTGCGTGTGAGCGTGTATATCGGGGAGGGGTTCAAAGAAAAAATTATCCCAAACTTTTTAATGTATTGCTTTTATTCCCCCCGCCCCACTTCTCCTCTACCATTTTAAGTTCTGACCTCAGGCCTCATCTGGGCCCAGGGCCTCTCAGAGGCTTCAACGTTTTCTGTACTTTGTGATGAATGTTAATAGGTGTTTTTATTATACGAAGCTGAATGTCATTGAATTGTTTGTAGTTTTTTCTGTCATTCATTCCAGTTTCCTTCAGATGCCACCATGTTTTCTTTAGCTATGGAAAACATTCCATTTCGGTGTCTCCTTTTTTTTCTTGTTGTTGTTGTTTTTTTGAAAAGGTCCCAAATGCTGCACGATACATGTGGAAGGGTTGTCCAACGGAGAGAGAGGAACGAAGTACTGCAAGAATGAGAATGAATGACAGATGAACATAGAAACACTGTAGGAAGCAACACAGATTCATTCCACAAAGCAGTATTTTTAATATATTTTTGTTTTGTTTGGGGGTTTTTTGGTTTTTATTTTACTTTCTTTTTTTTTGGCAGCAACGGTGAATATTAGCAAATGCCACAAAATTGAACAGCACAAAGAGATATATACAGCACCAACAGAGTTTGCTTTTAATAGAGAATGGATAGTACAGTGGCAGGTTCTCGGTTGTTTAACACGAGTTCTAATGGGTCAACAAATCTTTCTGGAATATCTGAGATTACCGAGATGGGCACCTATACATTTATTATTGCAATTTATTGTTTTAATTTTTTTTTTCTTTGCATTTGCAAATAGTGGTTGGAAAGATGACTTCATTAAATTGTTATTGTACGTGGTGATGTTTCACGGTCAAACATCAGTTCAGGATTGCTTGGTGGCATTAATCTGTTTGAATACAAATTAGATTTCAGATTGAACTTGTTACGGGAGTTAATAAGGACGGAGCCCCCACTAATGCTAAAGTGTTAATTTTCAGCTGTGCAAATCCAGTACTGCAGTTATGATTGTTATGCAATATTACACCAGCCAGTATGGAAAACCTCGCCGTAGGAGACGGGAGAGCTCGGAGAGAATTCGCGCCAGGGCTTGTTAGGCTAAACTGGCAAAGCTCTGCAAAGCAAACACGACATACAAAATCAGCTGCGATAGGTCAGTAAACCTCAGTCACCAAACACCTAGACATTTTCATTCTGCAACCACTTTTCCGTCACTCATTTATTTATGTAGGACTCTAGCTTTTTTTTTTTTTAATTATTATTTCCAAAAAGCCTTTCAGAGCTTAATTTATATTCTTCTTTGTACCTTTTTTTTTTTCCTAAAATTACCAAAGATATTACACAAAGGTAAATTATGTTCTCTGTTATATGCTTTATCTTATGAAGCCAAATATCCTCTTATTGTTGATCAAAGGAGGTTGAAGAATTTAGAGGGAAATGACAAGATATGGGCTATTGCTAACCTGAGAGGGAAACTGCTCCTTTATTCTAGAAAATTTAGAAGGCCAAGTAGATGTCTGAACCAAAGTTGTTACTTTTTATTTGCAATTCTTTACAGTGACCAAAAGGAAAGTCTGTAAAGAGGAATTGAGAGCTTTTGAGGCTAACACTAGGAATCAGTGTTACTGGTGGAGCTATGAGAAGGGAGCTGGAGAAAGCAAAGACACAGTTATTTTGTGGAAAATTAGAGTATCAGATAAAGGAGACAGTTTACTAAAACACAGAAGAGAACAGAAAAAGCTCCCACAATTTAACTGGATGACATAATAGTATTTCTAGAATTGAAAGAAGAAAAAAAATACTACTTTTTTTGGTCTTTGGTTCTACAGATTGTGTGCCACTTCTGTTCCGGGACTGTGCTGGGATGACTGCTTTAATTTCTTTTGGTTGATCTTGGCACATTTGCTCAGTTTTGTTTAGGGATTATTATTTTTTTTTTGGGTCAGCATTTTTTCATAAGGAAATAACACTCCTGTCCACTCATAAGCTTTGGTACACGAAATTTTATTGGCAGTTACTTTTATAAAACTCAACTCTGCTTTCTGTTTCAAAAGACAGGGAAAAAAAAAGATGAGGAAAAAAAAAAAAAAAGACGAGAAAAAAGGGCAGTCTGTGGTCATTTGGAAACATTTTTTTTTTTTTTTTTTTGGTTTAAATTATATCCAGGCAGCTTCGTGACGTGCCGGCGGTAGCCAGACAGGGATCATGAGAATTGAGCCCTGTGCTTCTAAACTGAGTGGTTTGCTGGTTAGTTCGGTATTCAGAAGGGGGATAAAAATCTGGTAGATTAGTTCATTCTCAGCATGTGTAGCTAGACATGAGTAAAGATAACAGCATGAGAAACTGTTAGTACGCATACCTCAGTCCAAACTGTTAGGGAATGAGTAAATAAATAAAAAAAAAAATACATTTCACTCAGTTGCACTTAGTTGTATGTCTTGCATGCTTAGTCTAAAGACTGTAGCAAAAATAAAAAAAAACTAAAAAAAGAGAAAAAGAAGGAAAAAATTAGAGTTTAACCTATCTGGCAGGTGTCGCAGCCTTGCAGAAGAACCAACTGAAAATCTCAGGCTTTACATCAAGCAAACTTATCACTATGATTTTTACAATTCTGATTCTGTATCCCTTTGGATATACAGTTGCTTCTTTAGGGAGGGGTTTATTATGTTGTACATATATATCCCACTGTGTCTGTGTGAGCCTTTGTCTTTCGGGGGGAGGGTGGGGAGGGAGGAAAAGGTGGAAAGGTCCTTTTTTTAGATATCATTCCTCAAAAGGAATAAATGCAGACCTGTTTGTCAAAACACCTTTTGCTTTTTGTGCAACTGCTTTATATTAACTATACTAAAAAAAAAAATAGCTTTGAAAAAAAAACTACTGTATGTAATGGAATTGCAGAATACGCTGCACATGTATTTTATTTAGTTATCCTTGCTTTAAGAATATTGGATGACATTTGCTGACATGTGGGAGAAAATCCCTGACTTTTTTTTTTTCTTCAGCTTTTAAATTGTAACATAGTTGACAGATTTTTTTTTTTTCTCCTGTTATCATTGATCGAAGCATTTTTGTACAGATTTTGTGTTTAAGCTGGTTTTTTTGATACTTTCCCACCCCTTCTGTTATCTTACCACTGCCTTTTCTGGCTGTCTTAAACAAAGTTCATATATTTGAAAGGAAAAAAAAAATGGTTTAAAAAAAAAAATGTTTTTCTCCTGCTGCAGTAAATATTTTGCATGATGAATTCCAGGGTCACACTTTCAAAGTTTATCAGTGAAGTAGTGATTAATAATGGGGAGTGTCAAACTATTGAACTTTTTTGTATAAAAAAACAAAAAAAAAACTTTACAAGGTGCCAAGATGTAAAGACAATTTGTTACATGTTTTTTTTCTCAAAGAAAAGCGTACATTATGAAAGTAGTACCATGTATCAGGTAAATCGCTGTCAGGAATGAGAGTCAAAGCCTTCCTTGTCCACAAAAAAAAAAAAAAGTTTGTAAATGTAAAACCTGTTAGGTTTCTGCATTCAACTAGAAGTGAAATGAAAAACAAACACAAAAAAAAAAAGATTAAATAAATCAAGGCTTATGTAGAACAAGTGACCACAAAAAAAAAATAAATGACCTTTTTTTTGATTCTCACTCGCAAGAGTCCCGTTGCAGGTCCTGCATCTCCACTCTCCTGGAGCTCAGCTTCAGGAAGAGACCAGGGCAGGGATGCTGGTTCTACAAATATTGCAGATCATTAGATATTTTATATATATACATACATAAATATATATTATAAAGTTTTTTAAAATAATTTTGAACTATTGTAGTTTTCAGATCGCCAATAATCCTCACGCTCATTATAGCATGGAGAAAGGAAAAAACCAAACGTGTTTAAACTCTTTTTTGAAATCCTTTGGTACCTTTGGTTAATGAACTCAGAGTGAGTTTTTAGATGTTTCAGAAGTCATTTAGTATTCTAGTCTTGCGAGGTGAATTTGCAGTTCAGGACTGCATTCTAATGGGCCCAGAACAGGTAACCAAGTATCTTCTACCCATAAGCCTTGATGAAAATGGTACAGTCCAGACTGTTAGCATGGTGCTTCGTGTGTATGTGCTGCCAGTAACAAGAATTTTTTTTTTTTTTTTGATAAGGCATAAAAGAAACTCATTCCTTACATCAACTGTAATTCCATCATTCCATGTCTGTTGATACAGACAATAAAAAATGTTGTGTAGTCAGTACTAATTACTGACATTATAGCATTCTCAAATGCAATAAAAATGCTGGTTGTTCACACTGGTAATGCAAGTTGCCATGTCCGAAGTTCTTGTTTTGTTGTTCCCCCTTCCTGATGACTCTGGTGTCACATCCCCTAGGCCCTGGGCTCCCTGTGCTGATCCATGGAGCAGCTCTTGGCACCTCATCCATGTCCCAGCACCTTCATGGACAATCTCATTGCTCTCCTTGGGTCTTCCCCTACCACATCTGAATACAAAGTATTTTAGTGGTGGTTTCATGGATGGTTTCTACAGGACAGTTGGTTGAGGCTTAGGCAATAGAAGCAAGGAAGATGCTGTTCAAAGAATTCATCCACTTTTCCAAAAAAGTCCATCAATTTTGTCCTTTGTGGTCCTAAGGAGTTGAGGGTATTTGCTTTCTCATTGGACCCTGCTTCAAAGCATGAAGGGGTTTGGGGCCTCATCCTGCACCTCCTTCCCAGTGTGGTGCCCTGATGGGAATGGCACCGTTGGCTTTGGTTGGAAGGGTTGGGGGTCACACATTGCACCCCTGCAAAAAGGGGTTTGCAGGATCAACCCCTCAGCCCACAAAACTGTGAGGAGCAAAGTCCCAAGTCGCCTGAGACAAACTTTAAAAGGAAAAAAACCAGCACCTTTTCCTTTCGAGTAAGCACACATTTATTTTCTTCATCAAGTTTTATAAAGAAAAATAAAATGTTTAATAACTAGCATTAGCAGCAAACTGAAATTTCAGAGGAGAGATTTTTTTCATGAATAATTCATTAAAATTTCACATCTGCAAGATTAGTCATCCAAATAAAATGCTAATGTCAAAAACATGCACCGTCTATAATATTCTCATCAAGAAATCTTTTTGCATATAATGATAAATGCTTAAATTAGTACAAATGATTTTATAAAAATATTCTATCATAAAATTATACCAGATAACTACTTACTTTTTTGGTGGTAGGGTGGGGGGGAGAAATCTTTGCACACTCATTATAATGTGTCTCCAAATGGTATTGACTGGCAGATTTTAATAATTGAAATACAGAGAATAAAATTTGGTTTTGGGGGGTGTGTTGCACTTTTAGCACTGGTGAGATTTTAGTAAACTGGAGCAGACTTGTGGGGTTAAATTTTTCAAAT